AGGCTTTGTTGTCATTTACATTTTGTATCCTTCATGAAGTTTTTGTTCTGTTTTTTTTTTTTTTTTTTTTCAATAGTAAACTGATGTACTGTAAGCTGTAAAAATTTACTTGGGATTAATTTTGAGTTTCCCAGCTTTCGGCCTTTTATAAATGCCTGTTCACCCAACATCTAATTTCTCCACGTAAAATCATCCCTAAATCAAACGTCAAGGTAACAAGAATAAAGGAAATGAACACCAACTAGAGAAGCTCTTGATTGTTAAACAAATTCTCGTTTTCAGCACCTTAAGAAATGTACAGAGAACAGTATGGAGAATATGCATGCTGATGCTAGGGTGTATTAAGGGTTGATGCTAGATTGGTTACTTGTGTTGAACTACAAACTCTTGAGGTGCAAGATTAAGATTTTGTCATATATATAACAGCTTTATATATAACAGCTTTACTGTAATTGTAATTCACATTATATTACATTACAATTAGGTTATAGAGGGAGAAACTTAATCCCCATATTAACTATACCCCATATTATAATTATAATAAATTACATATATCTATACATGCATGTGTAAGAATTTTAAAAGGTCATGAGTTTCTAGGTGCCCTTATCTCATGGAATTGTGAGGATTAATGCTGCAGTGTTTTCTTTAACCTTTTGCGCAGCTTGCAGACATTTGCTATACCAGGATCAATATTTCTCAGTATTCTATCAGGATTTTTATTCTCTTTTCCTTTAGCTTTATTTCTTGTATGTTTGGTAAGTTGATTTGGACTTTAGGGATTAATTGAAATGCTCAGAAATCTGAAAAGTGTACCCAAGGTCTTCTCTATTGTATTTGTTCAGAATATGATCTGTTTCTGTTTTACAGTGTTCCAGTGTAGGTGCATCATTCTGTTATTTATTGTTCTACCTTGTTGGTCGAAGGCTGGTAAAACATTATATACCGGATAGAGTAGATCAGTGGTGTGAACAGGTACTTGCATTTTTATTACGAAGCAGTTACTAGGAGTAGCCATTTCCTACTATTCCTAACTTCCTAATTTTTCTCATCCATGCTACATTTTTTCTCTGGTTTCTTGATTTTGTTCCCTCCACTTTACAATATTGGCTCTGACTTAAGGCTTGCACTTGAAATATCAGCTTTATAAACTGTGTGGCCAGGTTACATTATCAATTCAGTTGATAAAACCAAATTATCTTGTAATATCCTCCACCAGTGTAACACTGTAGTTTCCTTAAAAAACTCACTCCTGTTGGTAACTACATAATGATTTAACCCTTTAACTCCCAAGATCTGATTGTGAATTCTCCCCTCTAGCTGATACACGTTTCCTTGTAAATTGGTTACAAGAATTTGGTGTTCAATCAAGGTACCAACTTCTTACTGATGAGCTTGTGGATTCTCATTACCTGTTTGCTGGATCGTGTATGGATATTATAGAGAGAAGTTACATGTTGATCACTTCTGGGAGCCAAAGGGTTAACCTGGATTGGGTGGATGAAGAACATCAATCTTTTGAATGCGCCGCTGCTAAATTATATTAATGTAATTATTTAGTTATTGAACTTTTTTTGTTTTATATTTTGTCACAGGTTAACCATCATCGAGACAACCTCCTAAGTTACATTATCTTCTTACGTATCACTCCTTTTCTGCCCAACTGGTTTATCAACATTTCTTCTCCAGTGATAGGTGTTCCACTTTTGCCATTTTTTGTTGGCACTTTTGTTGGTAAGTCATTTAAAAGATTGATATTGTCATCTCAGTAATGGCCAAGACATGTGTCAAGGTACTTACAATTCTTGTAAAATGTTTGGGAGCAGTTCTTATTTTAGGTGTTTCTTAGTGTTATGGAATCATTTTTTTATTAGCTGTCATGTAGAGTAGTTAGTTCACTCTCATGGCATGGTGATTGTGCCCCAACAACAGATACTGCTATATTTGAATTCAACTCACATTTTCCTTTGCAAAAAAAAGAAAAAAGAAAAAAAAATGCTTAATTGCACCCATTTATTAGTTATGTTTTGTTTGTACTTAGATGGTAAGGCAGGGAGGGGTGGGTGGGAGCTGCAGCCATGTCTCAAAAGAAAAAAAGGGGAGGTAATAATTCATGATTCCTGATGGAAAAAAGTTCAACTAGGAAGTGAAGACATTTTTTTTTTAGTCCATTCGGTCTGAATTAATACTGTAACAGTAACCTCTCTGGCCAATCACTTTGAAAACTTGCTGAAATTACTAGAAAGATTAACTCGCATTCATTAATATAATTTTTTTTTAATATTATTATTCTTTAGGTGTCGCTCCACCATCTTTTGGTTTTATCAGTGCAGGAGTTGAACTTTATGTTTTAACAACCACAGGGGATGTGATGTCATTCAAGTCCATCATGATTGTGATTGTTTCTGCTCTTCTGTCATTAGCTCCAGTTATATTCAAAAGGCAACTTAGGGCAAAGATAGAATAAAATGAATCATTGTAAATTACGAATGATGCACGATCCTCGCAGTAGATAGCGCTATTTAAGCAATAGAGAAAATCAGACCTGAGAAAAATCAGGCCTGTACGGGACTAGAACCACTGACCTCTGCGATACTAGTGCAGCGCTCTACCAATTGAGCTAACAAGCCAACTGGGAGCAGGCCGTTAAGTTGATATGAACTTCATATATTCATTGCATCTCATTGTAATTTATAGTAACTTATTATAATTGATTATGTCCAATAATTTGTTAAATATGTATGGGGGAGAAAGTATGTTGGATCAAGATGAGAAAGTTTTCCTCTTATAATTTTATAAGTACGGGGTAATGGGAAGGGTTTCATTAAAAGCAAGTTCCTAGCGGTCTACAGCTGCACATAAGAGCTATTTACTTGCAAGCAGGTTCTCTTGCTTGGTTTTCCGGCACCTTTCAGCCACTTTTCTGGGCTTAGCTGCCCATTAGACCATAGACAGCCCTTTATGGAAGAAGTTACTGAAACCCCCTGGTAGTACCCTGGCTCCAGAGGTTTCTCTTTTTCTCCCTGTTTACAATCCTTTCGGGCTACGAAGCAGCGAGATTGGCCGAGCTGCGTAGCAGCGTCTCTTTTTCTCGGAGCCGCGAGCGAAACCTCTGGAGCCAGGGTACCCTGGTAGTGGCAATGAGTTGTGGTCAGCAAGACCATACTTGTTCCTTAGCCATTTCATCACTGCCAAACTATTTGGTGACATGTGAATTGAATGACAAATTCAGAGCAGGACTTTGATTTAGGTGCTCAAATGATGGACCTGTCGAAAACGTGCAAAAGCTAGCGTACTCACGATTTATTTTCTTGGTTCGATTTTGCTATTACACTGCAATTAACTCCCTCTCACAACTCTCACGAAAACACACATCACGTCTC